AGATTGGACTATTTCAGAATGATCCAACTACTCTTGTTACTCTTACTTGAGTATTGATTTTTAAATTTTTTAAAGATTTATTTATTTATATTTTATACGCATGAGCGTTTAGCCTGCATGTACAAGTGCCTGCAACGCTCATGGAGGCCAAAAAGAAGGCGTCAGATCCCCTGAACTGGAGTTACAGAAGGTTGTCAGCCACCAATTCAAACTCAGTCCTCTGCAAGAACGGCCAGTGCTCTTAACAGCTAAGCCACCTTGCCACTTTAAAGTGTACAGGCTATCCCCTTTCTCACACAATCTCATACAGCCATTGGCACCTCTAGCTCCACAGCCACTCTTTTTAAAAAGAGCACAAGGCCGGGCGTGGTGGCACACGCCTTTAATTCCAGCACTTGGGAGGCAGAGGCAGGCGGATCTCTGTGAGTTCGAGGCCAGCCTGGTCTCCATAGTGAATCCAGGACAGCTGGGGCTACAGGGAGACCCTGCTTCAAAAAGGCAAAAAAAAGAGCACAAATCCAGGCAGGGTGTGGTGGCACAAGGCTTTAATCCCAGCACTCGGGAGGCAGAAGCAGGCAGATCTCTGAGTTCAAGGCCGGCCTGGTCTACATAGTGAGTTCCATGCCAGCTGGGACTACGATGAAACTATGTCTCAAAAAGACTTTAAAAAAAGAAAAAAAACAAAAAAACAAAAAAAAACAGGCACTACACAAATACACATAAAATAATAAAATATTTTTTTAAAAAAAGCACAAATCCATTTTTATTTATCTACTTTCCATTATTTTAAATCTGTGATACAGCATTACACAGATTCTGTGTCCAATGGCCTTTGCAGGAAGGTTGCTTTGGAAATTGGCACAAACTATGCCACTGTTACCATGGGCCCAAGTTACCTTTCCCCAGATTATTCTGGTTTTGTTTGGATTGCCAGGAGTCACTGTGTTGTGGGTTTTTGTTGTTGTTGTTGTTGTTGTTTTTGCTTTATACACATAAGTACATCTCTTGCCTAAGTTGAACTCAGTTTCATCTCAGGCATAAACACCTTTGAATTTAAGAAGAGCTCTTTGATTCTGGAGACATCGTTTAGCAGCCTTGCACCAGTCTTCCAGACATATTTGCCTTTTAGAGAGAAGTCCTGTTCCCTGCAGGCCTCCACCGGCGCCAAGATGGGCAAAAAAGCCTCCACAGCTACTTTTAATTTGTGAAACTGAAACTCTGGAACCATTAAACGAAAGTCCTATTTCTCTCTCCCAACCCCTGACAAGCATTTTACTTTCTGTTTGATTCTACTTTCTATACCCAAATGCAAAACATATATGTTTGTATATTTAAAATCAGAGTGACTGCAGTATGCACACCTTTTGACATTTCTTTCATACTATATCCTGGAAATCATTCAATATTCACACATACAGAATTGGCTCATTCTTTCTAACAAATGCACAAACTTAACCAATCCTCTACTGATATACACCTGAGAACTCACATTTATTTTATTATTTGTATGTGTGTACATCTGAGTGGGTTCATGTACACCACATTCAAAAGAGCCTGCAGGGGACAGAAGAGGGCACTGAAATCAGAAACAGTTGTGAGCCTCCATGTGGGTGCTGGGAACACAACCCCCACCCACCATCCTCTACAAGAGTAGCAAGTGCTCTTAATCACTAAGTCATCTCTCTAGCCCCAGCAACTCTATTTGATAGTCTCTTTCAGATTAAAGAGATACAACAGATTGCAAGCTTTCAATTAGCAACTCTGTATCCTAGATGTGAAATTAGAGTACTCATAGAGAACTTGTCTGCTTAGGGCTCTCACTCATCAGGTATACAAATTAATCATAAACTTCCCTTAACTTACCCCAATTATAAAACACACAATATGTATATTTGAGTCATACTGATCCTATAACCAAAGGACCTGCCATTCACTACTCCTTGTTTTTCTGTACAATAGCCTTTAGATTACATCTGCTCTAATCTAGATGTGCAATAATCACCATGGCTTTTCCTTTAAAATTAGCTCCTTTTTTTATCAAAGCAACTGGCTCTGAGCTACCTCTTTCCTGGCTCTTTAGAAGTTCTCTTCAAAAGCCATCCAGTAAATTTCTGTAGTTAAAAGTTCCTAGAGTAGGCACATACCTGTAAGGCCAGCACTCAGACTGAAAAAGGAGTTCAAGGCCAGTCTGGACTGTATAAGCCAGATTCTGTCTCAAAAATAAATCTACCATTTTTTAGATTCAAGAGTTAACTTTTTGGGATTGGAGAGATGGCTCAACGATTAAGAGCACTGGCTGCTACTCTAGCAGAGGACTGGGTTCGATTCCCAGCACCCACAGGTTGGCTAACAACCATCTGTAGCAACCATCTGAGAATCCGATGCCCTCTTCTGACCTCTGAGGGCACTGCATGACAGGGGTGCACTTATATACATGCCAGCAATACATGCATATAAAATATTTAAAAAGTTAACTTCTTGCCAGGAGTGGTGGCATACACCTTTAATCCCAGCACTGGGGAGGCAGAAGCAGGGGGATCTCTGAAAGTGCAAGGCCAGACTGGTCTATATAGTGAGTTCTAGGCTAGCTGGGGCTACAGGAAGACCCTGTCTCAAAGAGACCAAAAAAAAAAAAAACAATCAAAGAAGAAGAAAGAGTACATGAAGTTATTAGATTAACTTCTTTTATTGTATTGCAATTCACCTTTCCAAAAGAAGTGCTTGGAATCTCTTGGTGTAACAGAGAAAGACCAGTTTGGCATTCTCTCAGATGGATTTCACTAGTTCCCATTCCATGTAAGGGTAAGCAAATTACCATTAGCATCTTAGCAACCTCATCTGAAAAAGGCTTAAAAAAAAATCTATTACAATAGCGCATTAAATTTCTGTGACACACCTGAGTATATTTGGCGCATAGTAGGTGCTAAGTAAAGCCTAGTTGAATCTGATTATCCACTCTTTCAGTCTCAGCCAAACTTGAAAACAAAGCGTTAACATTTAAGATTTCCCATGGGATTTAGAACAGGTCGTGGCTCTAAATACTCAAGTTTTCGGACACAGGCCTTTAAATCCCAGCACTGGGCAGAGGCAGGGGGATCTCTACAAGATCGAAGCCAGCCTGGTCTACATCACGTATTCCAGGTCAGCAAGGGCTACAGGGAGACCCTGTGTCATGTAAGAGGGAAGAGGAGCTGGAGAAATGGCTCAGCAGTTAAGAGCATTACTGCTCTTGCAGAGGACCTGGGTTCGGTTCCCAGCACCACGTATGTTACTAAGACGCATCGCACAGGGAGAGACCTCGAGAACAGGAAAAAGAACGGCGGCTGTCAGTCTCAAGAGGTGGTACAGTGGTCCTGGCTCGAAACCAGCAAGCCTTTAAAAAGCACCCAGGGCCTGGGAGTCCCCTTCCTCAATCCCAGGCCGAAAAAGGTCACCGGCCTGCCCCAAAGGTCAAGGATCTGGATCCAGGCGGCAGGCAGCGAGCAGAGTCGAACGCCCCCGCAAGAATCCGTACCCCGCAGCCAGGCGCACCGCCCGGCCATCAACCCCAGCGGGCATCCGGAGCCGGTCCGTGGCCTGGCCCCCGCGCCGCACCGTGCAGGCGCATCACCTGCCCAAGGGGCAGCCCACCCGCCCCCGGGGGCGATCGGCCGGCCCGGCCAGCTCTCCGTACTCACACTCACAGCCGTCCCTTCTTACTCCATCAAGCCGTCGAGGGCCCGGCAAGGGAGCTCCCAGTCACCCTAGACGCCCCCCTTCGCCCTGGGTCCGGCGGTCCGCCCGGGACCCGCTCCCCGCCGGGCACTGACGCCGCCGCCGCCAGCGCGCAGGCGCACGCCTCCCGACGCGCTCCCTTGCCCCCACCCCATCCGCCCTTTTCAATTACCTAGCTTTATTTGAACTGGAGAGGCGAACAACGGACACAGGGCATGCGGCTTGTCTCGCAGGGAATAAAGGAACACAAGTAGGTAGTTTGTGGAAAATAGTCCGCGGCACCTTTCCCAACGGTTTTCATTATTGCTTTTCCTGTATCTTTTTTCTGCTCTAGGTAGCGATAACTGTCTAGACTGTTTCAGTACTACTCTTTCCTCGTGAAACTTACTGGAGTATCACGGAAGGTACTAGAGTTTTAGAACAGACTGACCCCAGTCGGGCATGGTGGCGCACGCCTGTAACCCCCACGCTCTGGAGGCTGAGGCCCAAGGGTCCGCAAGGGTTCCAGGCTAGTCGAGGCTATATGCTCCTGAGTTACAAAATAAGACCCAGTCTCAATAAAACAGGACAGACCCAAGTTTAAATCTTATCCTAGCTAGTAATAATTTTTTACTTTGGGCAAAGTGACTTTTTCTTAGAACGTCAGTTTTCTGAGTTAAAATTAGGATAACATCTCACAGGACATTGCAAAGATTACATGAGATAACACAAGTCCAGTGCTTACTCATAAATGTTGCCTATCAAAGACTAGACATTCATCAGCACTAAGGAACATATTATAACTAGATTTGTTATTAAATTTAGAGCATTCTCATTCCTGAGGATAATAGCCTAGTGGCTAAGATAAAGTTACATTAAATTTGATAAGGTGATGTGCTAATTCTATATGATTGAAACCATAATAGCATGTCCATTTAACAAGACTTCTAATGCCTCAAATAAAAAAAAACAGCTATCTTCATCTGTATAAATCCAGATTCCCTTCTAGAGGTTTAGGGACTTCTTCAAATTTTGTATTTGTGACATCACAAGTCCTTGAAACAGTCAAGATCTGTGGTAGGCTGCTCATTCTATTTTCATTTAAAGTCATAGGACAAGAGTGCTTTGCTCTGTAAGTTCAGAGCCTTGGAAGGAAAAGCCTGTAGAAGACCAGGTTTAGATATTGGTGAGGATGAAGGAAACACTAGAGCAGGATTTCTCAAATATTAGAATATTAACATTTTCAAGCAGGTAATTCCTAGTTATCAGTGGCTGTCCTATGCATTCTAAGATGTTTAACAACGTCCCTCAACACGATGTAATGCTCCACTCTTACAGATCTTACCAAATCCCCTGAAGGGCAAAATTGTCCCTGGCTGGGACTTATTATATTCACGATCATCACAACTCTAAATGAATTCAGCCATATAGCTTCATCCCCATCCTCAAGAAGTGACTTCAGAAAGATACACAACAGAAACTGCTGAATTCCTGTGGGTCTTAAACAGGCCCTCAACAGTGCTTACCAGTCCTATTCCCTTGTTCTGGTCAATTTAGTCTAGCATGTTCCACAACAATATCAATTTCCTTAAACTCCCAATGCTACCTCCTTTTTAATCAGCAGAGGACCTATCTCTGGCTTCACAGAGAACTTTACTCTCTTGTTATTAAACATATAAACTTGCAAAGAATTCTTGTTGTTATAATTAAGGATATGGTTTCTCTCTTTCTACCCTCCCCTCCCACCATCTGTGTCTGTCTCTCTGCCTCTGTCTTATGCTGGTTTTGAACTCACTATGTAGCCAATGGTGGTCTTGAACTCCTCCTCCTACTTCAGCCTCCTGAGTGCTGGGATTACAGGCCTGAGCCACCATTCTAGACCTCCTATCAGTGGCTTGAATTCCCCTACTCTAACTCTCTCAAGATTTTTTATTCTAGATTATTCTCTCCCTTTTTAATACCTAACTGCTTCTCTCAGTTTTTTTTTTTTTTTTTTTTTTTTTACCATGCTCTAGTTTCTCCTGTCTTAATTCTAACAAATTAAAACACCCTCGACTCCATCATTTTCTCTCCCTCTTCTCTGACAAGGACAGTTTCTAAAAGTATTTTATAACCTGTCCCTATTTCTCTCCCCTCTCCAAGCTATTGCAATGTTTTCAACTTTATATTCCCCCCTAAAACAGTTGTTATCAGCAATCACCTCTGTTACTAAATTCAAAAGACTTTTCTCAGACTTCATCTTCTTTGATCCCTTAGGAAGAGACAACTGCTTTGAAATATTTTTTGTTGTTATTGTTTGGGACAGGGTCTCACTATATAGCCCATGGCTGGCTTGCAACTTGCTATGAAGACTAGGTCTGACTCTGCGTCTCTAGTGCTGGGATAAAAGGCATGGGCCACCACTTACAATTTGAAATACTTTAAAAAAAATTTTATTTTATGTGTATGAGTATATTGCCTGCATGTATGTGAGTGCACCCATGTCGTGCAGTGCCACGGACGTCAGAAGAGGGCATTGGAGTCCCCTGGAACTGGAGTCAAGGACGGTTTGTAGCCATGTGGGTGCTGGGAATTGAACCCAGGTCCTCTGCAAGAGCAGTCAGTGCTCTTAACCGCTGAGCCATCTCTCCAGACCCTGATATACTTTTATGTGTGTGTTTTCCTTACATGTATTTAAGTGCACCTATGCATGCAATGCCCATGGAGGCCAGAAGAGGGTGTCAGATTCCCTAGAGCTGGAGTTACAGTTGTGGGCAGCCATGTGGGTGCTTGGAACAGAACTTGTATCCCTAGTGTTCTTAAACAGCTGAGCCATCTCTCAAGCCCCCTTGAAATACTTTTTATTCCCTTGATTGCCAGCATTTTTTTTTTTTAACCTCTTTGAGAGACATGGAAGAATTCCTGGGGCAAATGGCTTAAAAGTCTTCAATAACTCAGTAGCCATAGCATAAAGTCTAGCTTCATTGATTACAGAATTCCAAGCCTTTTAAAGGTCTGACGATTGCCATCTCCCCTCCCCAGCCTGCTTCCCAGCCTCTACCCCCAGCCCTGCTGGGGATGGACCCAGGGCTTAAGCCTCCCACTTACTAGGCAATACTCTACCACTGAGCTTCGCCTTATCCCCCACCCACTGATAGCTCTCTTCCTCTTCTGTGGTGGTGGTGTTGGTGTTGAAATAAGATCTCACTATGTGGTCAGTCTGGCTCTAAACTCCTGAGGTCAAGTGATCTTCTTACCTCATCCTCCCAAATAGCCTGGGACTACAGGCGTGAGCTACCACGCCCTCATTTTTCCCTTCACTCAGGAATATAAGGTGAGCTCTTAAGCTTCGAACAAGGAACTTCCAAAGGCGCTGTATACTTCTTGGTATCCTATGTTCCCACAGCCTGGAAAACTATTATCTCCTTAGTGACTCTAAAAGTAACTTCCTCCTTCAACTCTTCAGACACCCCTCAATGGACAAGTTTTGTTCACTTGTGGGCCAAAGTCGTCTCGTTTTTCCCATGTGCCATGCACCATATTCTGGTCACCAGAATTTGTTTACATATCTTTCCCCGAGGTTAGACAGATCCAAACACCCTGCAGGTCAGAGGTTTCTAGTCGGGTGTTCCTCCGCGTTCCTGCCCTCCAGGGTCCCGCACTCCACAGCCTTCGGTAATGTTTGGGGCACGAACTCTTTCCACCTTCGAGCGGGACCAGAACCTGTCGGGTTAACGGGTGAGATCCCAGCCTGCGTGGCTGGAGATTTAAGACCCCCGCACGTTGATTGGCTCCAGCTGTAGAGGTGTGTCAGCGGCTCCGGCGCCCGCGAAGTGCGCATGCGCATGGTACCGCTGCGCGCAGGCGCGATGAGCGCGGAGCGTCTTGTCCAGTCCCAGAGAGTCCGAGCTGCCGTGGCCGAAGAGGAGTGGTCGGACTCGCTCGGTGAGTCCTCTGGATTAGGGCTGAGGGAGTTGGCCAGCGGGAAGTGCGGGATGATATCCCGAGGAGAGAGTGTGTCGTGATGGTTGAGAAGCTGGTGGGGTCGGACGTGAGTGGGGAGGGAGCCCCCAGCCAGGCTGGAGGTTGGGCCGCGGACTGGGGCTCCTGGCGCTCGGTGACCGTCCGGAGCCGGGAGGAGGAAGGGCGGTGGGGTGGCAGTGCCTGCGCTCCTCCAGACCCGTGAGGATCAGCCCCCACCCCCCAGCCCCAGTCTGGCTCCGCGGTGGAGCAGGTGAACCCGGCAACCGGTTCTGAGAGCCTTGTTTGAAGAATGACCCCGTGGCTCATGCCTGAGCATTGACGGCAGTCGAGGAAAGCCCAGTTTTGCCCGAGGCGTCCCCGCAGGCGCGCACAAAGGAAAGGATCAATAAAAGGATTTTCCCCAGAATAGGCTTGAAATAGTTTGTGCGCAGGGGAAGTATGTTAAAGTAATGTTCACGCTTCTTTGTTTCATCCTGAATCGCTAGTCACTGCAATGTTCAGAAAGGCATACTGGTGTTAAAGGAAACATCAAAATTGGGAAAGGGATCGTTTTCCTTTTGCTTTTTGTCTTGTCGGTGAGGGTTTGGACTTGGGGGCGGGGCGATGACTGAGAGAAAAAGAGTTTAGATATTGCCATGGTTATGACAGTGTGCACTCAGCCTTGTGAAAACAGTGTAGCTTCTTACTAGCAGGTATTTTAAAGAATCGAGAGGGATCGAGCCGGGCGTGGTGGCGCACGCTTTTAAGTCCCAGTACTCAGGAGGCAGAGGCAGGCGGATCTCTGTGAGTTCAAGGCCCGCCTGGCCTACATAGCGAGTTACAGGCCAGCCGAGGCTACAGGGAGACCCTGTCTCAAAACAAAACCAAAAAACCAACCAACAAACAAAAGAATTGAGAGGGATCTTAATCTGCCCGGCTGTCTTTAAGAAGGTTCTCAGGTGTCCTGTAAAATGCTAATAGCACAGTAATGGCCAGGTAAAATTGTTCTTCCCATGTTCTTTCCTCTCTTGGAAAATACTACACGTGAAACTTGTGAGATATCATTAGCTAAATATTTTGGCATCCAAATTTAAGCTATTTCATAGCAAAATAAGAAAGACTAATATTTTTGTATCAGCAAAGTTGATGCCCAAGGCATCCATTGATCACTTGGCATTTGTTCTTTTGACAAGAGATTTAGAAAGGACACATTCATATAGATAGTAACAAATAGAAGAAACGTTTCTTAAATGCATTGCTATGTTCCTGTTGTCACATGAAAGTAAACTAATTTGGCCTGCTCCTTAAATATATATCTTCCTTGGTAGGATTTGTTTTGTTTTGGTTTTTAGTTTAGTTTTCTGAACCAGGATTTCAAATGGCTAGGGATGGCCTCAAACACCATATCTAGCCTAGGGTGGCTTTGAACTGCTGATCCTCTTGCCTCTACATCCCTAAAGACTGGAATTACAGGCAAGGGTCACTATGCCTGCCTGTTTTGTTTTTGAGGCAAGGTCTCACAGTATAACCTACCCTGGTATTGAATTTTAGATCATCCTGTCTCTCAGCCTCCTGAGTGGTAGGATTAAAGGTATGTGCAACCACACTAGACTTTTTTCTTCTTAAAAGGTGTGGATATACTACAAAATTACTGTTATTTTAGTTCCAAGATAATGATTATTTTGTCATTATTTTCGCTCTTTCCTATAAACAGTATAATTTCTATATGCATGACTCTTGGTGTTTACTTTTAGTTTTATGTTTATTTACATTTGTTTATTTGGGATAGGTGTAAGAAGATGCTTTATAGGAGTTGGTTCTCTCCTTCCACCAAGAGGGTCCTGAGGATCAAACTCAGGTCTTAAGGCGTGGTGGCAAGTGCTTTTACCACTCTCTTGCTGACCCTGTTTTTATTTTTTAGGCAGGCTATCCTGGGGTGGCCTCCAGCTTGATGTGTAGCGGAGGATGACCTTTAACTTCTGATTCTCTTGCCTCTGCCTCCCCAGTGCTAGATTGTAGATGTGTACCTCCATGCCCAGTTTATGTAATACCAAGGACCAGACCTAGGGCTCTATACCTGCTAAGGAAGCACTCCACCAACTAAGAGCTACATACTTAACTTGTATTTTTTTTCAATATTTTGTTTATTATTTTTATTTTATGTGTATGCGTGTATTGCCTGCATGTAGGTAATTGCATCCGTGTCGTGCAGTGCCCTTGGAGGTCGGAAGGAGCTGTCAGATCCCCTGGATCTGGACAGTTGTTAGCTGCCCTGTGGGTGCTGGGATTCAAACCCCGGTCTTCTGCAAGAACAGCCAGTGTTCTTAACAGCTGAGCCATTTCTCCAGCCCCTGTATACTTGATTTTTTTTCCACCCCCGCCTCCACAACATACTAGATCTTAAAAAAAAAATTGAGAGGATAGAGAGATGACTTAGTGGTTAAGAGCACTGACTGCTCTTGCAGAGGACCTGGGTTCGGTTCCCAGCACCCACATGGTGGCTAACAACTATCCATGACTCCAGTTCCAGGGGAATCCAGTTCCCTCTTCTGACCTCAGACATTGTACAACACAGGTCCACTTACATGCATTCAAGCAATATACCTGTATACATAAAGTAAAAATAAATACAAAATTAAAAAAAAAAATTTTTGGTCTTTTTGAGAGAGTGTCTCACTATGTAGACCAGGCTGACCTTGAACTCACAGAGATCTGCCTTCCTCTGCCTTCTAAGTGCTAGGATTAAAGCCGTGCATCACCACTCCTGGCTTAAAATTTTTTTGAGATAGGGTCATGTTAAGTAGACCAAGGTAGCTTCAAACTTTCTATCCTCCTACCTTAGCCTTCTGAGTACTGGAATTTGCAGGCATATGCCTACATCCTGCTATTTTATACCTTTTTCTAGGACACATAATAAATATATAATTAGTGAGTGTGTAACTATTCCTTATGTAACAGCTAAAAATCATCTCTTTACTTTGGAAGGCATTGCTTGATTCTAATCGCTGTTTTAAAACAGAATGAAGGGCCAGGCATGGTGGTGCATGCCTTTAATGCCACCACTTGAGAGGCAGAGGCAGGGGGATTTCTGTGAGTTTCAGGCCAGCCTAGTCTTACCTGGTGAGTTCCAGGCCACCCAGAACTACATAGTGAGACCCTGTCTCAAATTTAATTAATTAGTTAATTAACTAATTAAAATGAAGATTTGACTGTAAAGCCAATGGGTTTTAATTCTGTGTGCCCTATAGTAGTAGTCATGATTGTGACAAATTTTTAGCAAATTTATCCGGTTTCACCAGATGAAAGACCATTAGAATAGCAAAAGGGAAAAGAGGTGTTTGTTCTTTGACATTCTTGTGAAATCAGTTGTCTGTTTCAAAAAGACCAAAGGGGGGGGGGGGGGGTTGAAATCTATTTTTTTGGTTATGTCTGCATTATGTAATATATATGATGACATTTATATTGTATGATGTTGCTTGTACTAAACTTTGCATTTAGAGGAAGAGATGACATTGACTGGTCTTTTTGGTGGTGGTGGTGGTGGTGGTGGTGGTGGTGGTGGTGGTGGTAGTAAGAGAGACTTATAGAAGGCAGTTCTTTCCTTTCACCATGTGGGTCCCAGGAATTGAACTCAGATCATTGGGCACGTTGGCAAGCAACTTTACCCACTGAGCCATCTCACTGGTCCCATGAACACCATTCTGTCCTGAGTCTTCAGTGCTAATATTCTCTTATGTGTGCATACTTATTCCTGTTTTTAGAATATCTGAGAAACTAATCAGAAAGCATTTAAGTAAACTTGAATCAGAGTCAAAATATAAGGATGGTTGGAGAGAATGTTTCAAGTGAAGTGAAGCCTTGTCATTGATCCTCATGCTAACTGGGCTTCTCTTTGGCAGATAAGTGTACTTATACCTGGTAGATTGTCCTCTTCCCCAGAGAGATCACAAAGAGCTGGCTCTTGAGCTTCAGCCTTACTTTTCACATAACTAGACAGAGTTAAGGTAATTGATTATAGAAGCACATCTGCCTCTCTAGGATTACCCCTGAGTTACTTAGAGTAGAACTGTGGAAATTCCAAAGCTGACAGAAGCTTGAAGATTGTGTATTAGGCGTCAGTTAACTCACAATCGGCACATCTGTAAAACTGAAGTGTAATTTTGCTCTTTTTTGGTTCCTGATTTTTAGTGGTTTTCTCTGACTCAGTAAGAGTTCTGTCTTGAATCATGTGCTTTACTGTACTTTGAAACCAAGATGTTTATAATAGATAGGACTCTGTGGTGCACTTGTATTATTTGCATACTTTTGGTGCTTCACATAAGAATAACATTATTTACATAGAAGAAGATAGAAAGGAAACTTGAGAGGAAGTAAAAGGAGAAAACTTACTTTTATTTTTCGAAACAGGCTCTTGTTGTATAGCCTAGGCTGCTTTGAGTACTGATCCTTCTGTCTCAACCTCCCAAATACTGAAATTATAGTTATGGACCATCATACCTGGCTGAGGAAACTTTAAAAAAAATATTTTATTATTTCTATTTTATGTTATGAGTGTATTGCCTGCATGTATGTGAGTGCACCCATGTCATGCAATGCCTTGGAGATCAGAAGAGGGCTTTGGATTCCCCTGGAATTGGAGTTAAGGACAGTTTGTAGCTGCCATGTGGGTGCTGGGAATCAAATTCAGGTCCTCCAGTCAGTGCTATTAACCCCTGAACCATCTCTCCAGCTCTGAGGAAACTATTCTTTTTTTTTGGTCTTTTTGAGACAGGGTCTCCCTGTAGCCCCAGCTGTCCTGGAACTCACTATGTAGACCAGGCTGGCCTTGAACTCACAGAGATCCGCCTGCCTCTGCCTCCTGAGTGCTGGGATTAAAGGCGTGAGCCACCACACCCGAAGCTATATCTTGTTTTTGTGTGTGCAAGTGGGTGTGTGTATGTGTGGGTATACATACCTGTGGGGGTGTGTGTGCATGTGCATAT